TTGGTTCAGAGTGTGTGTGGAGGGAAAAGGGATGTGTGTGGGGAGGGTGAAAGGGGCTGTGCTCAGGGATGTGTGTGGGGGGGGGGAAAGGGGCCGTGCTCAGGGGTGTGTGTGGGGAAAAGGGGCCGTCCTCAGGGGTGTGTCTGTGGGGAAAAGGTGCCGTCCTCAGGGATGTGTGTGGAGGGAAAAGGGGCCATGCTCAGGGATGAGTGTGGGGGGGAAAGGGGCCGTGCTCAGGGGTTTGTGTGTGGGGAAATGGGCTGTGCTCAGGGGTGTGTGTATGGGGAAGGGGGTGTGCTCAGGGGTGTGTGTATGGGGAAGGGGGCGTGCTCAGGGGTATGGGATACAGGGGCCACACCCAACTGTGTTTGGGTGCTAATCAGCTCACCTAGAGTCTGAGGGCCAAGCTGGCCCTGGGAGAGATGGGGCTCATGCTGTCTGGGTTATTCTGAAGCATAACAGTGACACCTATATAGCCAACTGAACCAGACCAGTGCCGTGTGGTTTTAATGAACCGGACCAGTGCCATGCGGTTTTAACGAACTGGACCAGTGTCATGTGGGTTTAATAAACCGGACCTGTGCTGTATGGGTTTAATAAACCAGACCTGTGCCGTGTGGTTTTACTAAACCGGACCAGTAGAGTGTAGTTTTAATAAACCGGACCTGTGCAGTCAAGTTTTAATAAACCGGACCTGTGCCGTATGGGTTGGATGGTTCAGTCACATACCACCTGCACTGTAAGTCAGAGTGAATCTGAGCTGTGATGAATGATACTTTACAGACATACTGAGCTGAGGTGTGTAATGTGTACTTGCCCCCCACTCCTACACGAACACATAGATTTAGGGGGATATGCTTAAGGCTCCAGCCCTCCTCCCCCAGTTTCCTTTAATGGGGTTTAGGGGTGAAGCAGTCCATCTCCTTCTCAATCGTGGACCAGCACAGGCCCATCTTTAGGGTTTGGAAGTCTTGCTGTCCCACTCTGTCCTGAACTGTCCCACCATCCCTGTCTGCCCTACTCTGCCCTTTTCTGTCCCTCGATGTCCCATCCTGCCACATTCTGTGTCCCTCTGTCCCCATCTGCCCCACTCCGTCCCATCTGTCCCCATCTGTCCTTCTCTGTCCCCCTCTGTCACATTTATCTGTGTGCAGCACCGTGAGCCATCCTGTTTAGAGGAGTGAGCTGACAGACTGCAAATACAAAAATAACATCAAAAATACGCAGTTTAAGGCATCTCGCTGACACCTGCACCCAACGTGACTCCACTGCAACTTCACTCGTCAGCTGCTGGACATTTTAGCTTTAACTTCTCAGGTCGAGCACCTAATGCAGGTCACCCGCTGGTATGTGAACCAACACTCCGCAGCTCTGCGGCACCTCACGTTACCCTTCATTAAGCGTCTTTTGCTCTTGGCGATGACAGGCATGCAGTAATCTTTTCACTTTTTCCCAAAGAGCTCCCGGTGTCTGCACTCACTGCAGAGCCTGCACTGGTTTCCGTAGCAACGCGGTACCATGGAAACCAGGGTATGGTACCTGCTTCGAGGAGCAGTTTTTTTTCCTCCAGAACATATTTTGGCGAATGATTCTGAACGTGCACATTTAATTTTGTCAGCATGCATGAGGATGAATCCTTGAGACTTTGCACATCTCTTTGGGGTTTTTGACTGCTCTCCATGTCGAAATTTTGCTTTGTGAAACCAAGTCTGACCTACGTTTTTCCTCAGAGAACTTTGGTGCACAAAGCTGGACCCAAGCAAAGCTCACCCTGGCAGCCCACGCACCCGCCTGCGTCTCTGGCTTGCTGGAAAAAGTCCTCCCACGTTGCCATGGTGATGGCTGGTGAACCGACCTTGCAGAGGGTCACAGATATGTTTATACTCCTGTCAGGCTCTCCTTCATGCCCACACGTAGACGTAAAACACACGCTGTCAACTTGACAATGCTACCACAAATATCCAACATGTCGCCTCCTTGAGACATTCCATTCATCATCTCCTGCATAGGCCAGGCATTTAAGCGAGCAGGTCAAGGATCAAAGTCCTCCATGTTAAATGGATGCTAGGCTGAACGCACGGCACACACACACACACACACACACACACATTTGATTTCATATACAGCTCCAGAAAAAATTAAGTGAGCACAGCACAATGTTTTGTTTCACTCATTTCTCAATTTATGGGAGTGCATCTGTGAATAATATATATATTATTTTGTAAACTGTAGCCTGGTTCTTCACTGTTTCTCATTATTGAAGGGCTTCTTCCTTGTTTTATGGGACTTCATTGCTGCTTCTTGAAGCCTGACTCAAACTCTCCTAGCAGTGCACTTCACACCTGCAGTTAATGTTTCCCATTCCTTTTGAAGGTCAATTGATGTCATCCTCCGATACATGAGAAACTGTCAAGTCAGTCAACGGTCATCTCTGGCATTTGCCGCTTCTGCCCTGGCTGGTTTCTGGTCATTCCCAATGTGGGGATTGTCCATTGATTTCTAAGGGCAAAACCCTAATCCCAGCAATGACAACCTTAATCCCTACCCAGCCCTAACCATAGACATAAGAAACCAAAAAATAAAGTGACTTGGGGTTTTTCATTTTTGATTGCAATTACAGATTTTTATTAAATTGAGCTTCCCCTTGTAGGGACCAAAAAATTGTCCCCACAATGTCATAATAACAGGTTTTTCTCACAATGAGGAGAGAATTGGTCCGCACGATGTAATGTATATATAACCCACACACACACACACACACACACAAATGGCCGGAGTGTATGAATCCACAAATGCAAGAGTCAGCTGTGGATGTGTTTTGGAAAGTGTGACATTCTGTGTTGTTTGTCTAATAATATTAGCATTTTATCAGCAATATTTCTAACATTTTACTTACGGTTATGGTTTACGGTTGTGTCAGCAGAATGTGAAAAGAATGATATTTCTTAAGAGTCTCTCTCTGCAGTGAAGTGGCCGGGAACAAGTCCGGGTTCTTCCTTACATAACTGACTGTAGACAGCTAGCCCCGAGGGACACGCGCCTCCTGTTGTAATCTGATGGGGATGTTGTGCTTTGCATGGGGGGGGGCAGTTTCAGTTTCAGATGAAGGTCAAAGGGAGGGGTCCTGCAGACGAGGTGCAGGGGGGTTGTTATGCTGGAGGCAGGGCAAAAATAAAGTGGCTGTTCCCACCCACGACTGTCACTGGTCACACAAAACTCTGGATCAGCAGAACTGACTTAGCGCCCAGACGCCCCCCAGGACCCTTTGGAGCATCACCATCTTTTCCCCTAATGCTCGGGCTGTGAGGTTTTCCATTCAAGAAAACAATAGAGCAGGGTTATTCAAATCACGGTCCTCGAGATCTGAGCACTGCTGGTTTTCCAGCCTTTCTTTACCCGTCAGTCAGGTAGGAGCCTCTGACCAATCAGAATCAGTAATTATTAAACGAACTACTTCGGAGAACTGAAAACAAGGCCTGGATTTAGAATCGAGGTCCAGATTTGAAGAACCCTGCAATAGAGGCTGTTCAGCCCACAGATTACAAAGGTGGCATCACTCACACACACACACATACACACACACCAAAGGCCCCACACAGATCCGTCATTGAATGTTACACACTGCCCCACACTGTCAGGGTCCTGTATCTGCTGTATGCGTCAAGGCATCAATGACTTAAGTACAGGCAACATGCAAGACATCTTCTGGCCTCCACCTCTGCCACTCCATATGGTTACCGTGGCAACAAGCCACACTGTAGCATAGACCTGGCTTCACTACCTGAGCTGGTAACCAGGGTAACTGGCCAAACTGTAGCATAGAGCTGAATCATCTCCGCCGAACATTGACACCATCGGTAAAGGGACAACACCTGTGCATAAAGTATCTGAGGATGGGAATTTATCAACCGTCACAGCAGGGGGAGTAGTGGTGAGGGCACTGGGCTATGGACCTGAAGGCTATGTAATGAGTAAAATTCACCATGGGTCTCTCCCTCTCCCCATTTCTCTTCCTCTCTCTGTTTCTCTCCCCTCCACTGCCTTCACAAACTGTCCAGACTCTCTGATCTGTTCCAGTGATTAAGCCCCTGCACTGGGGACCATGATCAGATTCCACTTTTGATCTGAGAATTGCGGATTGTGGGGTGGCTGCAGTTTCACAGCCAGCCTTTGAAAAGCCCTTTAATTGGTGGGACTGCCAGTGCTGCGTCCGTTTGCTGCTTTCTGTGTCTTATTCACCAGAACACACACATGGGTACATAATGAGGCCGAAGAGAGTCGGGGGATTACCACAGAGGTTTGAGTGACAGCAACCCCGCCCCCACAGGAGCGTGCCTATGATTGTGTGTCCATGACAGAGAGAGAGAGAAGGAGAGCGAGAAAGAAAGGTGTGCAGGAAATCAAAACAGCACCCCTGCAGCAGGTGAATGTGTCTGTGTCTGTGTGTGTGTGTGTGTGTGTGTGTGTGTGTACACCACCCCAATGTCTTCACACACACACCCTGCCCCTTCCAGCACATATTACTGAGACATGTTGGATTCTACTGCAGAGATACCTTAATTTTGCCCGCCCGCATGTTAATTCCAGGAGTAGTGAGAGTATGGGGGAGGGTGTATCTCAGGCTGGACCCTGTCCTTGTCATGATTAAAATTCCTGCTGACTCACTACAGGCCCCGGCAGAGAGCGCACAGACCTGTCACTCCACTGACACACATTTCAAAGCTGCCACACGGGAGAGACGCAAGCCAGGAGGCATAATACTGCCCCTGGTGGCCAATAGGCAGAGTGCGGAGAAGCTGATGAGTTGTGGAAAATACCTTTTCAGGGATACAGGGAGAATGGCACTCTCATGAAGTGAGTCTGGGTGAGCAGGACACTCCACACGCCTCATGGTTTCCTCACACCTGAAAATGGTCTTGGAAGCAGGCGAGATTGTTGGTCAACATGGACAAAGGTCACGAAGGACAGCCATGATGAGGACGCTGCACTGGCTGCTCTACCTTTTGTATGTCCTTGGGCTCTGAAACTGCAACATGCATGCTGCTTCCCTGCCACCTAGTGGTGGACTGCATACATTACTTCGTGGTGCTCATGGGGAATGTAGTATACAAAGAAAAGGCGGGAAAAGTTCCCATATTTGCCGCAGGGGGAGCCATTTGATTGTTACAGGTGTTGTAATCAAGAAGTACAAATAATCCATTACAAACTTCAATTAGTCGTAAACGAAATGTTCAAACTGACCTGAAACCAGCGCTTCCGTAACAGGAACCCTACTCCCTGCCAAGTGTTCTCTGCAGGCACAGCGCCCTCCCACAGATCTAAACATGTATAAGGCACCTATTATATAACAATATTATATTGAATTAAAAAATAAAGCGATACTACAATTTTAAATAATAACTAACATTCCTGTCTGCGCATATATTGGGAGCCTCGCATTATGTAGAAACACGAGTCTGCAGATAAAACATTGAGTTTAGTGAAATAAAAATAGGCGCCAAATGGTATTTTGTTAATAAGTGTAATAAGCATTTCAGTGTCTTACGAGGAAGCTGACGTTTGCTTCTGCTCGGGGTGTGATGGGGGCGTTTAAAAGAATCTGCACGAGTACCCGCCGAGTCACGACCGCGAGGCGCCGGCGCGCACGCGACTCAGCACGCTGACGTTTCATGTTTCCTGCAGCTATCATACATTCAGCCATTAATTTGTGCATGGGATGGGATCCCATCGGACTGCGGGAGACCGAAGGGGAGCAGGCAAGGAAATGAAGTTTCACACGGAGAACGCAGGCACGGATCTATCTCCGCAGATAGATATATTCGGAACTGGCCGTGCGTAACGTTTTATCTCTTTTTCGTTTGGGTTTTGTAACGTTAAAAGCATGGCTTGGCCATGTATTAGCAGAGTTTGTTGCTTGGCTCGGTTCTGGAACCAGTTTGATAAGTCTGATCTGGCGGTACCGCTGACGATCCCGAATTACTCTGATATAAGAGAACAGGATGCGCCCGCATCCATTAAGACGCACCTCCCAGCCGATCGGACGCTACAGAGTTACTGTCCAACTCCCGATCACAGAAGGTCGCCGTCGGTTCGGGATCTGGCGGAGGCGAAGCGGCGAATTGCGGGCCAGCACGATGTGGATGAGCAGCCCCTTCTCAGGACGAGCCTTTACAAGCAGGATTTCAAACCCTGGCCCATTCCTCGGAGACATAACGTGTCTCCTGGCACAGAAAGTAAGACAAGCATCCCCAGGAAGTATTACCCGAAGAAGACCCAGAAGAGGCCAGAGAAAGGGGAGAGAGGACGAGGAAACCCGCTGGAACCGCGGGCAAAAGTGTTTATAACGAGCTCCTACAGGTACGATTATAGCGGACCGAGACGCAGACAGACCGAGCCATCTTCAGACGTCTTCATCGATGCATACCGTGCATTCCGTGTTTCTGTTTGTGTTGCGTAATCTGCCAACTGAAGTTGTTTCATCAAGTTACAATTCACCGTCACCTTGCGGACTAATAAACTCTTTGTGCCAGTCGTGCTTAAAGCCCTTTTAATGCAAACGGTGGGTTTTAAAATCGGATCCCGCAGACTTCGTTGGCCTTCGATTGATCATTCTTTGATCATTTTCGGGCTTAATATTATTTACCCATTTGATATGACAACACTGTCAGGAAAAAAATACCAATTGTATATTTGAGGATGGGGCCAATTGTACCCTTAGCTGTTGGTAAATCTATCTTTTAAGGTACAGAAGTGGACTCAGAGGAACATTTTTGTACCATTAAGGGTAGATTATTGTTGTTTGTACTAGGGCTGTATAATTTTTTCTGACAATGTGCTACATCAAATTTAACATGTCTAACAGGACAGACTTTGGCAAAGACGACAGCTCAGTGTCACTGTTCTTTGCTTGTATGTAATTCTTATACTTGGGCCTCACAGATACCTAAATTTATGGTCTCCCCCCAACGGTCAGACAGGACTACCAGGACTGGACCGGGCCAAGTCTGTCGAGGTTAGCGGAGCAAAAGAAAAGCACCCCCCTGCCCACGGTCCCCATGGTGACCAGTTACCGGGCGGCATTCGGGGGGCACGGCCCGAGGGCGATGGAGAAGCTGCGGGTGGAGAGACCTGCCCAGAGACTGCGCTCACCTCCGACAGGGATCAGGACAGAGGTGAGATGTTTCATTAATTCGCCTCATTACTGCCATGCCCTGCAGCTCACCTGGGCCTCTGCTGGCTCTTATTCTTAAGTTTGTTATTAAGTGCAGCTGACCTTGAACTTCCATACAGACGTAAACATGTTTCTGACGCCCTTGAAGGTGTTTGATATGTTAAAAAAAAGTATATTGCATTTTCTGCATAATCAAAGTTTCCACTCATCCTGGAAAACCTGGAAAGTAATCAACCAATTTTCAGTGTTCACATATTCTAAACTTACAATAATATTATTTGTTTGCAGAAATAGTTTTCCAGAACATTTTACTTTTTCTTTACTGTTTTCTGTGCCTGGAAAATTGGTTGACTATTTTCCAGGTTTTCCAGGATGAGTGGGCACACCCTGATAATATCTGAATAATACTGTATATTACAGCACCAAACATACTTAAGAAATTTTATTTAACTAGAATTACCAATCTCGATTCAACACTATTATAATAATTGACACTTTTATTAATCCCTGTGGGGAAATTCTTTTTTATGCCTCCCTCAACTTGTTCTTTGTAGAGCAAGCTGTCTGCGAAGGGCAGCCACCTGTAGCACCCAGGGAGCTGGGGGGTTGAGGGTCTTCCTCAAGGAGCTGCAGATGTGCTGAGGCTGGGCTTGAACTGGCAACCTTGTGATTACAGGCACACGGCTTAGCCCACTGAGCCCCCAGTCTTTAGAACTGCTGTGGTGCCACATGAACTTGATAATGGTTATACCTCCTAGTGGATGCCCCATTTCTGTGAGCAGTTTGTAAGGCACTAATCCATGCCCTTGACGACTCGTGTGGTTTCCTCACCTGAAGGGGGCGCTCACTCAGGAACTGTGTGTCGGAGCCAGGCTGCGTGAGCTGTGGTCCCATGGTGCAAGTGTAGTAACAGCTGTGGCTTTTGATGCTGATTACATTTCTGTCTTTCCAAACAAGGGTGAAACAGTGAGAACGCAGAGGTCCTCCAATCCGTCAGCCATTTTTCAGAGCAGCTCTGTGATGGTGCCCTCCACTGGAGCAACAGGGGAAGCGCAGCAGCTCCGTGCCTGCCTTCGATGCAAGCAGGAGGGTGTTACTCCGTACAGAACACCTGCATGTCAGTAACATTCCGATGCACTTGTCCCTGTGACTTAAATTCTTGCTGGGCATGCAGTTTAGGACCTCAGTGTGAGGTTCAGCAGTTTACAGTTGTTAGCACAGACTGATCTGACCAGCAAAGTGTTTATTCATGGTCTCAGTATTTATTCTATTTTTGTTCAGTTTCTGGAGAGTATCGATTGTTTAACCTTTTTGTATGTTGTCTATGTTTGAAAAAGGTGCGAAAGGAAAATATAAATATTACTTATTTCTCTAAGTACTAATAAAAATTCTAAAGGTTTCTAAAAAACATTTTTTCTCAGTTTTGAAGAATGGGATTTGTTAGTGGGAAGGCACCACACAGAAAGAGGGGGGGTGTTTCATAAGACCATCAGGAGACAGATTCTCTCTGCTGCAGAATGGCTCACCCTGCACTGGTCTTGGGGGGGTTGTGGTTGACACAGATGGTCACCTGTCCTCTGACCCAGTGGTATCATCCTGTGTTGTTGAAATTCTTTGGGGGTTTGGGGTAACAAAACCGACTGTCTGAAATCTGTTTGACAATTCTGGAAACAATCACGCTATTACTAAACCACAGATGGAACATTCCAGGGTCCCTGTCTCCAGTCAGGTGACTGTGTTACCATAACAACCGGCTGAGCTGGTCCTTGGGTTTGGCGAGTTGCTTTCACACTACACTGTGTGGGCAGCTACAGCGTAATGCTGTTGGGCTCAGGGCTACTTGGAGGTCTTCAGGTGGGTAACATCACCGGTGACCTGGAGGGACAGAACAACACAGACAGTCAAGGAAAACTGAAAGACAGCGACAGGTAGACAGACAGACAGTGACAGGTAGACAGACAGACGTGGACAGACAGACAGAAAGAGAGACAGGTAGACAGACAGGGAGGTGGACAGACAGACAGAAAGAGAGACAGGTAGACAGACAGGGAGGTGGACAGACAGACACATCCTGTGTGGATATTCATGCTCTACCTCTGCTTAAAAAAAGCATTGTGGCATTGAGGCCTCTAGGGGGCAGTGGCACACCAGCAGAGTGTAATAGGAAGGCCCAAATATAACATGGATGGTCATGTACCAGCAGAAGCCTCTGGCATCATAATGCTGGGACTGTCAGAGCAGATGCAGTTTAGATCACGTGAACGTGAGGTGGTGTACCTTCCAGGGTGGTTTAGGAAGACACACTCAGCATGTTTTCCTCACCTGCAAGCTACATTCATCCCTCCTGGATCATGTGGCACCATCCCCCCAGCAAAATCACACCACACACACACACACACACCACACACACACACACACACACACACACACAAACCGCCCACGCTCTCCTATTGTTAATCCTAAACACAAACTAGCTGGCAGTGCAAACCCTGTACTGCTGCCAGATGGCGCTACAATTATTCTCAGCCAATTATTAATCTTAGGTTCTCAAGCAAAGTGGTTTTACAGGCTGGATATAGACAGGAATTCCTCAACAGGGACCTGATTACTGGGACAGACACTGTGTACTTTGAAAGGTAATCATGCTGCATGTCATACTCTGCTGTATTTTATCTTCTGAGAACAAGTGTGCTCGTTATAAACACTTTTGTTTAATTGATAATTTTATTTTAATTTAATTGTTACTTTATTGAATTTACTTTATTAATTCTCTTTATGCCTCCCCCAACTTGCTCTTTGTAGAGTAAGCTGGCCGTGAAGGGCAGCCACCTGTTGTGGCACCCAGGGAGCTGGGGGTTAAGGGCCTTGCTCAAGGACCCACAGACGCGCCGAGGCTGGGTTCGAACTGGCGACCTTCTGACCTTTCACTGTGACTTCGCAGCCTTGCTTCTTCATGGTCCCGTCAAAGAGCAGGAGAGATTGGAAAGCAGGCCTTCAGAACTGCTCTGTTTTTCTCTGAGCAGCAGAACTGAAACACAACGGTAAGACCCGATACTGCACTGAGAGGAGCCCCTTTTGAGGATCCCACTCCTCTCAGCTTTATAATCACAGTACAAAAGTCACATGCAGTCAAAAAATGCTTAAAGCTATTTATCTGGGTAGTAAGTGTATATTAGCTCAGAAAAAAGCACAATTTAACATTCGACCACATGTAGAATAAGAGTAACACAACAAAAACTAACAAGAATTTCTTCTGTTCTCCAAAAAGTTACCGATATCATGTTGGATGGCTAGATAAACACCACTTTGGTTCCCAAACCTCTCTTCAGGGGCACCCCAGCCATTCCATGTTAAACTTCAAAACCAGATCAATTAATTAACTTAATTAAATAATGAGTCAAAAAAGACAAGGGTATATCCGATGTTTGCTGCAAATACCAGGGTGACTTTAGGTTTTGAAAGCTGACACACTTTGACAGACATAATATCATGGTTTTACACCAAAAAGATCATTTAACCCTCATTTTCTGCTAAAGATTTTCCGCAGTACTATGGATTAGTAAGTATGATGTGCGTTCCACACAAGGACAGTTTGCATCGCATCCATCCAGCCCCCTATGTGACCCATTTACCGTGGTATGTCCTGAGGGATTTTGGGTGGCTGGGTCTTTTCCTGACTGGGGGGCAGGAGCAGCAGCAAGCCCTGGGGCGTGAAGGGGAAGCACAGTGATGCTACGCTTGATGTATGTTTGGCATTTCTCAGCACCCTGCTAGACCTGCAGAACATGCCGCAAACAGCATGGTGCGATGAGCACATTCGGTAAACAGCTTCTCCGCTGGACCAACCCGTCCCAGCAGGCGCGGGGTCATCCTCTGGGCTGCCAGGATCAGTATGTCCCGTCTGAATTGGGTGGCTGGCTGCAGGAGCAACAAGGCTTAGTTTTGGATGGATAAAGTGTCCTACTTTGTTATGTGATAGAGAATCCCATTGTGTCATGTCTGATAAAGTCCCACTGTGTCATGCAATATAGCCCCGCTGTGTCATGTGAGAGTCCTGCTGTGACATGCAACACAGTCCTGCCGTTTCATGTACCACTGTATCATGCGACACAGTCCCACTGTGTCATGTGATAATGCACATTCCTGCCAGGATGGATAGCTCCAGGCTTCCAAGGGGCAGTTTAATCGCACAGGGTTACACCTCATTAAAACATAACAGCCTGTCCCCTGCAGGCCGGAAAACACCCCCACAGCAGAGGGCTCTCAGGCCTGGAGTGGCCAGTTGGGATACTCAGGAGAATTCCTGGTGGGCTGTATAGCTGCTGTGCTATTCAGATACAAGTTTAAGGTTAAAACTGAGCTGGTCAGAAAAAAAAAAGTTTAAAATTCTACCACAACGTTTCAGAATGTTAACCAATGAGTTCTCTTGCACAGGTGTGCACAAACACACACACACACACACGAACAAAACAGACCATGATTGCTCTGCATAGGGAAATATGCAAATACGCAGTATGCACATCTGTGTGATCACTTGCCATTTATAACTGAGTGAGTACAATACGATTTATTTAATAAAAAAAAAAAGCCATCATCAAAATACCCATTTATCAAAACTGGGCCTAAAACTCCCGTGCTGAAAACCAATCCCACTCTGAGTCTGGGCTCTACTCATTTAATCAGAAACTTCTATTAATTCAGTTTGGTGCAGGTGAAAGCATCCCTCATATACTGCCTAAGGTGCTTGTCCGTATTGAACGAGGGTCCCGGCATATGAGGACTGGGTGGCCCCCGCTCCAAGCATAAGTGCGGCTGTTTCACAGAGGCATTTCCCCTGACCTACTTTCCGGATGATGTCAGCTTTTCCGTGGATACTGTACAGAATTGCGGCTGGGGGGGGAGGGGTGTTCATGTGGCAGCAGATCCAGAATCCTCCTGCTCTTCGAAAGCGAGCGCCTCACATTCCTGCCTGTCAGTGAACAAGTTCAGCAAACTTCAGCTGGTTTGGACCGAAAGTGGAAGCTGCCAGGAGACCGGCAGAACCACGGCTTGGAAGAGGAAGAGCCAGAAGCTGTGCGGACCTGGGGGGTGGAGGGGGGGGAATGCTGGAAAACACATCAACTGTTAAAACCCCGCTCTGCTACGCCACTGATGCAAAAATGACAATTTTACTGGGAGATGTAAGACAATGACACATCTACAATCAACACACAGTAATTAGAGCCACACATTTAAGGAGAGTTTTGTGCTTTTATCACAAATATTGTTACGTGTACATAAGCAGCAAGACGACCCAGAGCGTCAGGTCTGAGGGACATGGCAGCTTGGCTGCTCCTCCCCCAGGTCTGAAGAGCAGGACCATCTGTCAGCGGTCAGAAAGGGAGGCCTAAGCAGCCACCGCTGACAGTGAAAAGCAAACACCTGTAAGAGCACAGTGGCTCGATTCAGAGACTGGGTCGCCTGCTATAGGTAGTGACGGTGACATTAACCATTCTGACCCTGGACAGCAGTACCACTGGCGCCAGTCAGGGTACTGTCAGGTGATGGACCCTAAAGATGTCTCATTTGTATATGGAATGCAGTGCTTCATGTCACAAAGATTGTATCACGCAGGGATTCTTGAGCTCATTGCGTCTGTTTTAGAGTCCATGGAGGGGGGCACAGCTGCCCTACAGGTCGGATGGTCAGAAAAGCTGAGTCACCACACACATACACCGGCAAGCTTCGGTCACCACGAATGAACACACTCATGACACGGAAGGCCCAGTTTCTCATACCTGCATGCTGAAGATCTGCACCACCTTCATCCAGTAGTCCTCCATTGGGTTGGAGTAGAAGATGGACCTGGTGAGGCCAGCAGACATGTAGATCAGGCTGTTGAGGGACACAGCGGTGATGCAGCACTGGGTAACAGGACACACTAGGAGCGTTAGATCCGGGGAACAGACAGGGCGTCTCACACCAGGAAGCAGAGTGTTAGATCCTGGGGACATAGAGGGCATCTCACACCAGGAAGTAGAGCATTAGATCCAGGGGACGGAGAGGGCGTCTCACACCAGGAAGTAGCGTGTTACATCTGGGGGATGGAGAGAGCGTCTCACGACAGGAAGCAGAGCATTAGATCTGGGGGACAGAGAGGGCATCTCACACCAGGAAGTAGAGCATTAGATCCGGGTACCAGAGAGGACATCTCACACCAGGAAGCAGAGTATTAGATCCGGGTACCAGAGATGGCATCTCAAACCAGGAAGCAGAGTGTTAGATCCAGGGGACGGAGAGGGCATTTCACACCAAGAAGTAGAGTGTTAGCACCAGTGAATTCATCACTCAATTATGTAATCACTGGTTATTTTAACTAATGGCAGTCACTGAATTTTGCATTTCTTTCCTGGGTTCCAT